CTGTCTGATTATCTCGCATCAGTCACAATATACAAATACGTCATTATCAACACCATGGAAAATATGTAAGAAAAACAAACTGTACCAATTCTCAGCTGGGGAGAGGAAATCTCAGCAGCTATTTGAGCTCCAGCTGCCAGAAGAAATACACAATTTGGCTCTTTTTTCTTATTTTTCTTATATATTTCTAATTATATATATATATTTGAAGTCAGGCTTTGAGTATTTTTGGAAAGGAAGCTCATGGCCATTTTCATGCCCAGTCCTGCTTGAAATCTCAAGAGTCTTAAGAAAATTATGAATAATAAAATGGCTTTTCATCACACGCACAACCAGACTATAAGACACACGCACAGCTCTGTTGTCCATGACAAGGAAAGCCAGTGTTCAGATGTGGTTTGGCCACAGCCATTCCTGATCAAGACAACCACCGTTGGTCTGATTCTCCACCCAGTGGGGTTAGATCTGAGGGAAGGAGAGGATCAGGCCTGGTTACAATTTAGCCTGGTTTACTGAAAGCAATACTTGTGAATGGTGGCAACTGCCTGTCTGTCTGCTTGTCATTAGTGCCAGTAAGGAAGGAGTCTGTTGCCCAGCTACCCCCAACTGAGCAGAGGGCAGAGTTTTGAGGATGTGAAGTTTCTGCAAGTTTCATAGAAGATGGCAGCAGAGGGAGGAGATCCAAATCAGAACCTCGGCCCAGAAGGCAGATCTCACTAGTCTGGACCCCAGGAGAACAGCCAGGCAGCTGGCACAGACTTGCTGGTCTAGCAGCAAGGACACAATGCTCAACCATGAATGCTGCCACAGGACAGATTTACCTGGGACCTTCTCTCTTTTACAACTAAAACTTAGTGGCAAACATTACTTTTAAGTTACTTTCTGGTCACCATATTGTCTCTAAATAACACTGAAATGAAATCCATATTTGAAAACTATGATTTTGAGGTCCATCTACCCAAAGATAATGGAGTCAAAGACCTACATACAGAATAAGTATACCTTAACGTACACATTAGTCTTGCTGGACATTACCAAATCATATTCTAGAATATACAGGGAGAGTTGTTCCCTTAATTATCACCTTGCTTGACAGAAATACAGTAATTAAAACACTATCCTGTCTACTATTAAAAAAAAAAAAAAAAGAGTCATCAAACCCCAGTTTGTCTTGTTAGCAAAGCCAGAAGGTTACTTCTTGTTGGCTGCTCTCAGACTTGTCAGCAGTCTGATCTGTCATTGAACTTCCTTCTTTAAAAAAGCAAACCCAGCAGTGTGGCACCACCTCACCAACATTTGCACCACAGGCATCAGCCAGGCAAGGGGCCCTGGTTACTGCCCAGCAGCAGCTGCAGAGGTTGCAGTATGGTCTGAGCTTGGAACATGGAGGCAGAAACAGGCAACTGCCTTTGGCTCATTGGTACTGCAGGAAGGCTAAAGACAAAATTAATGTTTGTGGGCTCCCTGCTCAGGTTCAGTAGTGTAGCAGTGTCCAAGAACAGCTGTGATACAATCACCTCCCAAAGACCACGGAGACCAGAGTTCTGTGCCACTCCTGCACACAGCCACGGGGAAGTAGGTTAACTTGTCATCCTCGGGACTTTCATGGTGCAGGAGTGACTCAGACTTTGGTCCAACCCAATAAAACATGAGATTTTGCATGCACACACACACACACAAATGTTTTTCAGAAGCAGAGTAGGCAGGAGAATTGTTATAATCCATGCCATACCTTTGCAGTTGTCATGATGAGATGGTGAGCTGGGAGAGAGGAGACACTTCTGCAGCAATCCTCTCCCCTGCTCCAGCTCTAGACCACCCCACAGGATGCCACCATGGACACACATGGAGGGCACAGTGGGACATATGGGGTTGAATGCTTTGCTGTCCCCCTACGTGCAAACATTTAGCATCAGAATTCAACATGTGGGAAATCCAATAGGTCCCATTTTACAGGAAGGTATCGAGGCACCAGGGGATGTAGGACTAGCACACTGTCACCCTGCACACAGCAGAGGTAGGAACTGCACTGACAATACCTGCCAACTCCACCTGCAGTTCAAAGCAAGACTTCCCACTGCCATTTTACCATGAGAATGAGAATCCTCCAAAGAAACTCCAAGGTGCTGGTTTGCAGCTGTCCATCTGTCAGCAATGTCACAACTCCTAGTTTTGGCAGTTTTATATACCCAGGGTAACCCTTCCCCATCTCTCTCTCTCTCACACACAAGCTTACTACATTTATTAATGTGCAATCAAAGCTCCCTACCCCTTTCCTCTCCTATTCTTAGGGCAGGGGTAGACAGAAGCACGTGCAAAGTAAATACAGAAACAAAAATCATTTTAGGGAGAGGATAAAATGATTGCACTACAAGAAAACGTCACTGCATATTTCCTAACGGGACTGAAAGGACTCAGTTCTTCCCTTGAGAAGCTCATAACTACAGTAGACTAACAGGATTCATGTTCCTGAGAGCCTACATGTCATTTTTAAGGTAAATTATCAGCACAAAACGTATAAGCTCTTATTTGTGTAGGACAAAATTAGCTTCCAAAAACATACAGAACTCTCAGGTCCTTTAGTGAAAAACACCAGAAATCACAGAGTTTAGAAGAACCATGGGAATTAACCACCACAGTCCAACTCATAATTAACCAAGAAGCCTTCACAGGTAAACAAAATCTGAATAAGCCATTACCTACTGCAAGGCTTTTTCCTGAATGGGAGTACCTACCTGCGTCACAGCCAGTCTGACTCACTCACCCAGATATTTACAACACCAGCCTCCACTGAGACACGAAGAGAGACATCACTCAGGCCCCTGCAAAGATGTACACGAAGAGAGACATCCAGGAATGATACAGCCTTCTCCTATTTTGCTCAGAGGCTCAGTTACTAAAGAGTGGGTTTTGGTTTTGCTTCATCTCCCTTTTTAGTGCTTTTGTCCCCTTCGTTATTTACATAGAGCACCACTAGACTTGGGGTTAAACAAAAAATCCCTAAGAGTGAAAGCCAGTCACTCACTCTTCAGCTTCTAGGGTCATTTTTACCAGGCTGATCTTGGCCTGTTTGCAACTCTTAGTCAACACTCTTCTTTACTACAGTATTAGCAGCTTTATGGGACCTAAGACCCAATTACCATCCAAATGCCCTAACAGCTCCTCTAAATGAGCTAATGGCTTGTCTAGGAATAACAACATCTGTAATCACTTTGTATTATACGTTACATCCTTATATGGCAGAGATTTGGTACAGTCCTTTAATCAAATGTCCTGAAAATAACAACACTGTATCCACTCATTGGAGCATCTAATGCCCACTGCCTATTTGCAATGTATATTCCAAACGGGGGATGAAACATATCTACTCCATAGCCCAGCACACAAAGAAAGCATGCAGTCTAC